AAAAAAAATCTGGGAACATTTTTCTGGTCACCCTCCTTGCTCACTCCTCTCCAGGTCCCTCTCCCTCACCACATTTCGCACCCCACTCTCCCAGATCCTGAGCAGGCATGCACCTGGATTATAGACAGAAACCTCCCCCTCTTTCATCATCTCTGGTTTTTAGGCTGAGAGCAGAGGGGCAAGAGACGAGGGCAGAACTGGCTGGCGGTAGATGACTAACACTACCTGGGACTGACTTTCCAAGAGTGCTGTCTCAGCACTTAGTGTTTACCCACCTGGATGGAAGAGGGGCCAAAGCTGACTGAGCTTGAAGAAAAATGGTCTGGGGGACTGGCCAGGACTCCATGAGGTGGCCCCTACCCCTTGCTTCCTAATACTTCCTCTTTCCTGCTCTTTCCAGGAGCTGAGTGCCTTCCCCAGGGCAGTGGGGGGCTCTGGGGCAGGGCTGCATCCCGTCGTGTACCCCTGCACGGCCCTGCTTCTGCTCTGCCTCTTTTCCACCATCATCACCTACATCCTCAACCACAGGTGGGAGCTCCTGAAGGAAGGGAAGATGCGGAGGGGAGGTTGTGGGTCTGAGTACTGGCCAGTGTCCCTTCCCCAAGTGGGTCTCCATGATGTTCACAGGCTCTTTCGAAGGGTTAAGCCCTCCCTGCCCTCGGGCCTTGATCACATTCACAAACGTGCATGCACACAGACACCTGCTTTCCCCCTTTGCTCTCCCAATGGCCTTGAGACCGCATGGGCCTGACCTTGGGTGGGTGGTCCGTTAATCAAAGACTGTTTCTGGGGCAGCTCTATCCATGTGTCCCGGAAGGGCTGGCACATGCTGCTGAACCTGTGCTTCCACATGGCCATGACCTCCGCCGTCTTTGCAGGAGGCATCACACTCACCAACTACCACATGGTCTGCCAGGCAGTAAGCGAAGGGGCTAGGGTGGGGGTGGGGAGCGCTCCAAGATGGGTGAGGGCACAGAGTTGGGAGGTGCAGGGGAAAAAATGAGGTCTCATGCTGATAGGCCCCAGCTCCACTGTTGTGTGCAACCTTGCTGGGGGTGGGAGCCATGGGCATAGGGGTGGTAAGAAGTAGAGAAACTAGGAGATGGGTCTTCAAAGTGGAGGGTGGGGATCAGCAGTGGAGGAGAGGTCAGGAACAGGGCAGACACCAACAGCAGGGCTGTGAAAAGTCTCCCCAGTGGAAGAGGAGCATGGGGTGGGAGGAGAGAGGGTGACAGCAGGGGCAGAACCTTTGGAGGATCAGGGTAGAGCTGGGGGTGGGACTGTGGGAGGAGTGGGAGAATAATCCTGGGGACTGGGGCTCTGGGGCGGCTTGAGCAGTAGCAGCCTGGTCCCCCAGCCTCTGTGGCTTGACCCTGCAGGTGGGCATCACGCTGCACTACTCTTCATTGTCCACACTGCTCTGGATGGGCGTGAAGGCCCGTGTCCTCCACAAGGAGCTCACCTGGAGAGCACCCCCTCCACAAGAAGGGGACTTGGCTCCACCCGCACCCCGCCCCATGCTCCGGTACTTGCCTCCAGGGGTCAGCTTTGCAAGGGTGAAGGGCTCCGAGGCCAGGCCAGGGGAAGGACAGCACCATCTGTTTTCCCAGGCTGGAGGCAGGGCGGGTCCAAGGTCCTGGGTGAGCACTCTCCAAAGAGAAAAGAGGCAAAGCCTTGGGTGGGGCCATGTTGCCCAAGGCCTCGGGAGTGGGTGTGTCCTTAGAGCTTTTCAGGGATGACAACAAGGCCAGGGCCCTGGGCCCTGGGGAGGGATCCAGCGAACCACAGTGGCACCCTGACTTCTGTACTGTTTCAGGTGAGAGAGCAACTCTGGCCTCTGTCCCTTGCAACAGTCATGGTCAAGTCCCCTGGGAACCTAACAGAGCCCGCAACAAATTCTGAGAGAATTTAAAGGGGAAAGAGGAGGGGACAGAGACCCCAAGTCAAGGTTTCTGAGCATCTGTTTCCAACTCCCTTGGTTCCCCACCATCTCTGACCCCCAAACCCCATTCCTCTCCAGGTTCTATCTGATCGCCGGAGGCATCCCACTCATTATCTGTGGCATCACAGCTGCGGTCAACATCCACAACTACCGGGACCACAGCCCCTAGTGAGCGCCATGGCCTGCCTGCCCCAAACCCACCCGCCCCAACACCAGATGCCCTCTACTCCGCTGGCAGGGGCACCCGCAGGCCCACGCAGCCAGTGACCCAACCCAAACCCATGCATGTTGCCTAAGCCAGTCTCTGCCTTGCCACTCACCACGTCCTGTCTCCCCAGCCACCCAGCCACCTCAGACATGCCCCTCCTCACCCACTGCCTGTGTCTCCCCTCAGCTGCTGGCTGGTGTGGCGTCCAAGCCTAGGAGCCTTCTACATCCCAGTGGCTTTGATTCTGCTGATCACCTGGATCTATTTCCTGTGTGCCGGGCTGCGCTTAAGGGGTCCTCTGGCACAGAGCCCAAAGGGGGGCACCAGCAGGGTGTCCCTGGAGACAGGGGAGGAACTGAGGGGTTCCACCAGGCTTAGGAGCAGTGGCCCCCTCCTGAATGACTCAGGTTCCCTTCTGGCTACTGGGAGCGCTGGGGTGGTGACACCCGGGCCCCCAGAGGATGGTGACGGCCTCTATTCTCCGGGCGTCCAACTGGGGGCGCTGGTGACCACTCATTTCCTGTACCTGGCCATGTGGGCCTGTGGGGCTCTGGCCGTGTCCCAGCGCTGGCTGCCCCGGGTGGTGTGCAGCTGCCTGTACGGGGCGGCGGCCTCCGCCCTGGGACTCTTCGTCTTCACCCACCATTGTGCCCGGCGCCGGGACGTTAGGGCCTCCTGGCGTGCCTGCTGCCCCCAGGCCTCGGCCTCCCGCGCCTCACCCCGGTCCGTGCCCGCCGCCCCAGAGGACGGTTCCCCCGTATTCGGAGAGGGCCCCGCCTCCCTCAAGTCCTCCCCGAGTGGCAGCAGCGGCCACGCGCAGTCCCTGGGCCCCTGCAAGCTCACCAACCTGCAGCTAGCCCAGAGTCAGGTGTGCGAGGTGGGGGTGGTGGCCCGCGGGGAAGGGGAGCCGGAGCCCATGGGCTCCCGGGGCAGCCTCGCTCCCCGCCACCCCAACAACTTGCACCATGGGCGCCGAGCGCACAAGAGTCGGGCCAAGGGGCACCGCGCGGGGGAGGCCGGCGCCAAGAACCGGCTCAAGGTGCTGCGCGGGGGCGCGGCGGCCGGGGCGCCTGAGCTGCTGTCCAGCGAGAGCGGCAGCCTGCACAACAGCCCGTCTGACAGCTACCCGGGCAGCAGCCGCAACAGCCCAGGCCTCCAGCTCGAGGGCGAGCCCATGCTCACGCCGTCGGAGGGCAGCGACACGAGCGCAGCGCCGCTTCCCGAGGCCGGCCGCCCGGGCCAGCGCCGCAGCGCCAGTCGCGACAACCTCAAGGGTGGCGGGGCCGGCGCGGAGCGGGAGGGCAAGCGGCGCTCGTACCCGCTCAATGCGGCCAGCCTCAACGGCGCGCCCAAGGGGGCCAAGTACGACGACCTGGGCGGGGCGGGCGCGGACGCCGCGGTCAGCGCCTGCATGAAGACAGGTCTCTGGAAGAGCGAGACCACCGTCTAGGGCGGAGGTGGGCGACGCTGCCGAACATGTCGGCTTCTCGGGGACCCTCAAAGACGTCCAGCGGTACGTCAGCAGATTTGAGGGAGAGGTGCCCAGGGCTTCCACGGGCCACACTGGCTTTAGTCCCGGAGGCTGGGGAAAAGGACAGGCCAAAGGCCTGCCACTGCCAAGAGGGCCGTACCTCTGGGCTAGCGACGATCCCAGGACCGCCAGCAGGATACACACCTTCCCAGCCCAGGCTAGTTTGGGCAGTAGACTGTGCCGTCCAGGGTAGTGGGGGAAGGTCCTGTTGGCCTGGGAGGTGGGCACAGGCACAGCTCCCAGGTGGGCTCCTTCGGTACTCCTCACATCTCATCCACCCTGCCTCGCTGGTGGCCGCCCATATCAGGAAAACACAGACGGGAGCTCGAGAACCATGTTCTCTCCTCACTGCCCTCTACAGTCAGCCATCTGTGCCTAGGTCCTAGGGCCTCTCCCCGACCCAGCTTCCAGGGCAAGGAGGGGGCCAGTCTTGCAGATGAGCCAGGCGGCCGTGTGTATAGGTGCTACTTTTAAGATAAACTATGCAAGAGAAGGTGGAACAGTGTGAAAGGCAGCCCTGGAGATGGCGTTCTAGGGAAAGGGTGCACAATCGGGGACACAGGAGTGGTATACAAAGCACAGGGCAGGGCTTAAGAGGTGGTGCTTTAGGACAAAGCCGAGGCCCTGTGCCTGAGCTGCTGACTCCACCAGACACCCAGGAGAGATGGGAGGCAACTGGAGAGCAGTACTTAGATTTCAAGCCCCATGCAGTCCTGGCCTAAACCCAGCCCTGTGAACAGTGCTCTGAAGAGAGGCACCACAAGGCCACAGGTGGTGCTAAAGGAGCACTTAACTGCTCAATGGCAAGCCCCATAGCCTCAGTCTCCACCTGCCAACACCGAGGGACTATGGAAGAGCATTTCCCTGCCTCCATGAGGCCATATGCAAGAACCATTCCAAAAATCTGATCTCTAGCTCCATATTAGGGAGAAACCTCCCAAACACTGAACCGCCTTCCTGCCTCACAGAAGCCCAAGCTGAATCCCCCAGGGCAGCAGGTAGGATCTCTGAAGCTCACGTGGGGCCTGTGCCTTCACTACTTTTTTAAACACCAGCACCCATATTTCCCCCAACCTAAAAAGCAATCACCAGCCTTACTACAGGACCCAATGAAAAATGGAGGGAAAGCTGAGCCTGGTGAAGAGGAACAGGAAAACCAGACCTGGTCCAGGTCCCCTCTTGGTGCCCACATCCCCACAGTCTAATCACCAAGGCAAAAGACAAAAGGGAGGGGAGAAAAGTCACACACCTTGGGATGAATCCTGTTATTTATGCTTGCTGCACAGACAATATTAGACTTAAAAAAAAAAAAAACCACGAAAAAAAAAAAAGCTTCGTATTATTCTTCCACATATGCTGGCTGCTGTTTAAGTACCGTGCCAATGCCTTAGCACTGGAGAGCTTTTTGCAATACGCTGGGGAAAAGGGAGGGAGGGGATGAAAAGTGCCAAAGAAAATCTGTTTTTAAAAGCTCGGGTTTTATACAATAGAATGTTTTCTAGCAGATGCCTTTTGTTTTAATATATTAAAATTTGCAAAGCCCTTTGAGCTATATAACTTTAGTCCACCCATGGTCCTTTTGTTATGAGGTACAGGATTTTATGACCCCGTACACAAGAACCCACCCATGCCTGCAGATGGATATAGGGCCAAGAATGGCCCAGTTCCTGTCCTCTGAGGGCTGATACCATTTCAAATGCCAACCCTGCCACACCAGCGGGGAGGGCCCATCAGGCCTGCAGCAGCAGCGCAACTGATCCAAATCAGGAGGAGGCCCGACATCCTCCAACCCGACTAGGAGGAAAGCCATCCCTCACAGTATGAATGTGTGCCTTCCCCTTTCGGACCATCCCTCTCAGGGACGGGATTCTCTCCAACCCAGTTGTTCCTGCATCGCTCCCAACTTCTACTGCAGGACCCAGGTTCCAATTAACTGCAGAGTCCCTTAGTTCCTTTAAACAAGAGAAAAAAGAGAAAACCAGCCACCTCAGGACTCATGTACACTCACTCCTCCGGGTCGCACAGGCCTGTGGTCAAGCTGCTGCCAGAGTGGTGGGAGTGCTTCCTCGGGTGCACATCAGGGAGGGTTAGGAACCCCGGTGGCAGCCTGAGCTTTTTGAAAGTCCCTCATTTCCTGAGGGGTACGCAAATACTGCTCTATTTCACTATCGGAAATGTCCTCGTCGCCGGTGACTGTGGAGATAGGGGGTGGGGGACAGATCCGCTTCGGGGGCTTCAACATGCAAGGTGGGAGGAGAAGGGCAGGACTGGCTGGCCGCTTGCCCTCGGGCAGATCTAAGGAACTACTCGCTGCCTCTGCTTTTCCCTGCCCTGGCCCCAGACCCTGTCCCTGCAGCTCCTTCCCCTCGCCGTCCAGCTCTGCCGTTCCATCTCGAAAGGCCTTGCGGACCAACGTGTGGCGGTGCTGTAGGAGGTCGCCGATGTGCTTCACCACAGACCGCTTGTCGAGCCTCAGCACCTGCAGCCAGGCCAGCTGCTCGGCCATCCGCAGCAGCACAGCCAGCAGCTCCTGGAGGCGGGAGGAAGCAGGACAGGGCAGGTCCACGTTCGCCAATTTACAAAACCGCGCGAGGGAGCACCTCAGACGCTCTGAAGGCTGCAGCGACTGCCAAGCCAGGAAGGTAGCCGCAGTGATGACGGGCAAGGGATGGCGCCCGGTCACCAGCCAGGTCTCATCCGCCAGCTCCACCAACTGCAGTGTTCGAGAGAGCATCTTCTCTTTGTCTTCCACGTATTTGGCTGGCACGGATGGGGAAGCTTGGAACAGTTTGAAGCTGAAAGAACCAAAATAAGAGTCTGATCGCCATGCCTATAGGGGAGGGGGCTGCTCTGCCAAAGGGAGGAAAAGCAGTCCACTCGTGATGGACAAGCTATCCTCTCCTCTTGGAATACTCAAGCTCGCTGGGCAGCGACTCTCTACAGGTGCAGAGAGAAGACAGGTGGAGTGTCCTGCTTGTACAGTGAAGGGCAGGAGAACCCACAAGGAGGCTCACGTTTGTCAGCTTCCCCGTCAGCCGTATTCTGAGTGCTTTCCAATTGTTCTCCTTTCATCTCCTCCATACCCCTTTATGTGCACTTATAGTTAGAAAAAACGGGCCCAGAGTCAGCCAGCTAGGAAGTAACCCAGCAAACCCAACACCACTTGTCACTGAGAGCCTTTGCTTTTTCCCCTATTTTTCGGAAAAAAAGAAAAGAACACAGCTACTTAGGAAAAAAAAAGCCTCAGCTTCTGCCTCTTGCCCCATCACTAACTTCCTTTCACCTGCCTTCACAGATGATCCTTCACAGATGAGCCAAGGCAGGGCTCTGGCATACAGTCAAGCAGGTCACGCACAACACAAGAGGCGCAAAGTTCAGCAGCCCCGGGCCAAGGCTGACACCTACTTTACCTACAGCATTAGACTGCAGTAAGGGCAAAGGGATTTGGAAATGACAGCAGTTTAGAACTGTAAAATGGGCTTAACCTTATTAGTACAAGGCACAGGGGAGGGAGAATAGGTTTTCTTCTCGAATCCCTTTAGAGGAGCTTTGGTAAAAAGAGACAGCCAAAGGTCAAAGGATTCAGATCTAAGGAGCCATCCCATCCCAGGGTTTCCCTGCGGGTAGGTACCTGCTACAGTAAGTCTTCACCAGGTCTGCCAAGCACAGAGACGGCACATCCAGCCCCAGGAGCTTCACTATCTGCATGTAGGTGCCAGAAAACACATCCAGATCTGCATACAACAGGGCGCAGATGGTTCCCATGGTGAGGGGCCAGTTATGCTGCCGGCAGGTGATTAAGACACAGCACCCAACCAGCACCTCCTTCTTTTGCAGCCTGGCGGCGCGGATGCCAGGGTGCCGGTAGGCCTGCTGGTAGTAGGCAACTGCCGTGTCCTCAAATGTCGATGGCAACTGCAGAACTCGGCAGAGGTCTCTCACGCGGCGGAGACCTAAGAAAGCCAACAGCAGGACTCAAAGAGGTTGAAGGTGCTACTGTGCAGCTCCTAGCAATTTTTGCTAAACTTGTCTCCGACAGCAGATGCACAAATAATGTACCTTTCTACAGTGACCAGGGTGACACTTGGTGAGGTCATTCTAAAGACACAAAGAAATTCGTGGAAAAAGTCACATTTCAACCCACCATTCTTCAGGGGCTGGCATGATTCAGAGCTAGGCCCAAGTATGATCTGGAATGCATGGCTCGACCTCTAACACAGCCCTGACAAACCCAAACTGTATACTGAATCAGAACTGTATACGCTCTTAGAACCACCTCCATTCTTTATTTCTAATTACCAACGTCTCCTACTCTACCTTACACAGTAATGCCGAACACAGGGAAAGCAAGAGGGTAGGCTGGACCATCAGGAGAATTTTAAGGCCACCGTATCACAAAAGGTCGATTCTCACCTCGTTGTTGGCTGCGACTAACTTGTTCATTTTCCCCTGTGCTTCGGGAATAGGTTACTTCTGTAAGATAATGGACAAGAAACAGCTTGTTTAGCCTTTATTCACCAGATCCCTGGCCTCGCACCACACAAAACCGGGGAGAATTCATACCCTTAGGCTGTGCTCTCTGTCTCACAGAAGGCACCCATTTTTGCACGCTAAAAGTCTATCCGGTTTTTATGCCCACAGCAGTATCAAATACAGAGACTGAGAAGGTTAAGAATGCACTACAGTGGCTTCGAGTGTTCCAAGTTTTTTGGCCTCCCTCCTGCATATGCAATCCAGGTAATTTTCCTGACTGCTGATTTTGAGGGCTGCAGTGGCCAGGAACTCAGAACGCAAAGAAAAAAACGATATTTTTGCTAATTAGTGTTAAAGACTACTTGAAGGTAATAATCTGTCCGTATCTGTAAAGAACTGACCCACAATCCTTCCATCACACCCAGACTAGGTAAATTGAGTGGAACTCTGTTTCTCTGATTCATTTGGTCAACGTTTATTATACCTTCTCTCTCTCTCCAGATAGACAGATGCCAGATACCGTACGAGGTGCTGGAAAAACAGATGAAGGGCAGTCCCTGACCTCCTGCAGCTTCCTCGGTTACTTTCTCCCGTAGTTTAGCGAACACGGGACGAGGGCGCGGAGGAATCAGAGCACTCCGACGTCAATCTCTCGCCACCCCAGGTTATACCCGCGGCACTGGAAAGGCCGGCACAGATACCTCGGAGGTTGCCTTCGTCGCTGAAGGTGGTAGTAAGGACCCCCTCGGTGACCACGCAGCCACAGTCTGAGCACACCAGCTGGCTCTGCGAATAGTGCGAGTCTTCCACGAGCTCCGTGGACCCGCAATCGGGGCAGCGGCCTTCGCCAGGCATCTCACACCCCAGAGGCGCGGAAGCTTTCGGGTATCCACTCCTACGTCCACAGCAGCAACAGCGGAGAAGCAAGAAGCAGCAACAGCGGAGAAGCAAGAACCAGGACCGGAGCCTTCTAAGCGCTGCACCCTTCTCTTCCGGCCAGAGCAACCGCGGTGTACGTAGGTAGTTCTGTCCGCCGGCTGCGCGTCACTCCGGTCCGTTTCTGTTTGGCCTCGGGTAGAAACGCGAGCCAGGAACAGAGGTTCCTGCTGTGGACTCACTCCGTCTTCGCGTTCTCCATTATTTGCGGTCGGTTTGCAGGTTGAATTTGAGTGAAACTTCTACCTACGTGGACACACTACACAGGAAAATGTTCCCGTTTCCATACAACTCTCCTTTCTGAAACGCTAGGGAAGTCATAGAATTCTCCATTTCTTTTTGGTAACAAATGTTGATTTTGGCCATAGTACAAAGTTTGCCTAAAAGGAAGAATACTGCCGTGAGAGAACAGGAAATTGTGTTCCACTCTCCAGAGCGGCTTTCCCAGCCAAGTTCTTTCCTCTCCTTCAGGCCGTTTCTCTCAACTGTAGAATGAGGGAGTTGAATTGAAAAATACAGAGTGGCAAACACAAATGCTTTCAGAGACTAGCTAAGGGAGTTGGGAGGGAAGGAATATGGGGGTGGTGAGGCTTTGGACAAACTGGAGGCTTCGGGCAGATTTATATGCTTTTAAAACCTGAGCTTTAAGGTACTCCAAAATTCTGGCTCCAAAGTTCCTAACTTGGTACAAGTATAGGTCAAAGAATGCTGAGCAAAATTGTGTCTCCAGTGATGCTATCACAGAAACCAAGCTTACACATTTAAAATTCTGTTATATTTATAAATTAGAAGTCACCCAAACAGAGTATTTCTAATTAATCCTAATTGCACTCGTAAAGAATAAGGATTTTAATGCTTGAAAGTTTTAGAATCAGCCATGTCTGAAAAACAAGAACATTGAGTTAAATGACAGGTACCACCAGAAGTCTGTCCCTTATGACTCCAAGGAAGCAGATGGGAGTCAGCACAGCAAGTGCCTAAAGTGTGTGTGGAGAATTTGTTTCTCAAGCTGACAGTTGGGAATTTCAGGTAGGCTCCTGGCATTAGCAGATTTTAGGAACTGTTGTGGGCTTAATTTCAACTTATACTTGGGGTTGAGAATGGAAAGGTAAGATAGGCACAGAAAATGATTGGACAGCTCTATGCAGAATGAATTGAGGAATAAGGATGTTTTGTCAGAACTTAACAAATTGGGATACTCCCTTGAGGAATAAGATACAGGTTATGGCTGCATTCCTTTGAAGACTAATAAACTGTGCATTCCAGACCTGAAAATTTTTCCAAAATAAAAAATGGAGCTTATTAGTCTGAAGAGACAGGGGCACAATGACCATGTACCCAGAGAGTCCTCAGAGGATTTGAGCCTCAAAAAGAAAGGGATCTGATCAGACAAAGCTGTAGGTTCTTTTGAAAGCTATAATCGGTAGTCAGGTACACAGGATTCCCTGTATGCATAGCGGGACTGAGTTCCCTGGACCATAGTCATATCATATCATACAGAACAGCATCAGACTCTCATTCCCACTGTGGTGGGGAACAAGGGCATTTCTGACACAAAGATTGCATTTTATCTATAATCGAAGCATCAACTTTCTCTGCTTCAGATGTCACTTATCTTTAGTATAAATTGGGAAGGAGGTGCTTTGCCTTACAAGGAATGTCCATTCAACACAAGCCCCTGGCTCACAGTTCCTCCCCTCTGCTCATAGCTATTCCACAAACCTCCCCTTCTTTGCTACTGCTCAACAGAATTTCCTACACCTCCAACCTCAGTGGGCTGGCAGGATGCTGTTAGTTGACCTGTGAACACAGGTCACAGCAGCGAGATTTCCATTTTCTCATTTTCCACACCTGTATCACGAGACTGTTAATGCACCTTGCTGAAGGGTTGAGGAACTTAGGTGATCATAATAGAAATGAAGAATATTTTTATAAAATGGGAAATTTCGTTAAGACTCTCCTTACAGCTCAAGAGGAAAGCATTAAAAGAGAAAACAAGCAAAAACAAACAAACAAAGTACCTTCAAAGCCTGCCAGCCCCTTCTTTTCCAGTTTTTCCTTGATATCGAGACCTAAAGACACCACCTCATCCCCAAGAGAATTCTTAGGACATAAAACCTCTTCTCCTTTCTAGAGAAATCCCACCTACTACTACAGGACTTGATCATGCTGGAGCATTCATCCCCTCCCCAAAACCAAGGGCCTCAGTAAGCCCCAACAGTCCGTACCCTTACATCTGAATTCCTCACTCTAGCCCCGCACCACAAGGGGCATCAGCACAATAGCTTTGGGTGGGCACTGGCATTCCAAGTCCCCTTTCTTCTAGACTCGCCCACTAGAGTGAGGGATGCGATAAGGATTTACTTCTGGGGTCCAGCAAATAAACATTGAGACACACTTGCATGCTTGTGTGTGCACATACACACCCATCAAAGACATCCGTTAGTTTTTGACAACACCATCGACATCCTGGTTAGGGTGGAGAAATATGTCTCCAAAAGCAACATAATTGCATTCGAAGTGCTTCATCACATTATCGTACAGAACAGCATCAGACTCTCATCCCCATTTTTGTGCCGACCTTGACCCTAACTGCGTTTAAAAAAAAAAAAAAAAAGGTGGGATTTAATTAGAATCCTCTACCCTTGATAGGAGCCTTAGAATTCTGCTTTCTCCAACATTACTCATTTTAAAGTGGAAGAGTGGTTTTATGATCCTCCAACCAACACCTCTAAGGGGTGGAGAGGAATGATTCTCTTTTCCAGTCACAGATACGTGATATTATCCTAAGGGAGCCTGGCTGTCAGATGCAAACAGCCTGGGTGGTAGGCAGGACTCAGGCCAGAAGATGGCGCACTCTATTAAGACTTGTATATCGAGGGGACCTGGCTGGCTCAGTCCGTAGAGTATAAGACTCTTGATTTTGGGTTTTGAGTTGGGGCCCCATCTTGGGAGGGGGGGTAGATTGTACTTAAATTAAAAAAAAAAAAAAAAAAAAAGACTTGTGAGTCTGGGATTCTCTACTTTCTTAGGAAGAAATTGATTTATTTAGGAAATGGATTTGCCTTCCCCTGGAAATCAGGACAGACACATCCTTGGTGCCCTTCCTGCCGCTACCGACTCTTCTAAGAGTTTCCTTTGTTCCGTGAGTGATGATCTGTTTACCAAATGCTCCTCAAACCCCTCTCCCCCATGCTACACCCAACAGCTTGAGGAACTGGAATCATGTTTCTTGTCTCTGTATCTTCAGTGCCCACTTGGCGGCTGGCACGCAGGCTTTTGGAATGCTTCGTGCCCAGAATGTGGGGGATTTGAGTAGAAGGCTCCTGGGGAGGGGAGACTGTTGGAAAGGCTGCCCCAGCCATGGTCCAGATGTGAAATACTGACCTTAAGGCCACAGTTCTTTCTAAAGAGGTAGAGGAAGAAAGGTTTTCTGAGGGATAAGGAAGGCACTGACAGTGCGGGACAGAAGGCAGCTCTCACCAGTCCTCCCTCAGTCAGATGTGTGTACTCTAGCTAGTTGTTTGTCTGTCTGGCTCTCCCTTTGCTTGCAAGTCTTTGTGAGAATGCTGTGGCTCTCTTGACCACGGTGTCCAGGGAGCCCCTCCTCCAGGGAGGGCTGGCACTCAGCAAAGAGCTAGTCAACTCCTGGGGATATCTGTCCCCAGTGGGCCTGTCGTCAGGAGCAACAAATAGACTAAATTTCTCAGAGGTAAGATGATTCTAATTTAAAATAAGTAACTGGAGAGAGTTGGGCCACCTCTGGTCTTTAATCTGGCCTCACCCCTGGGCTCCTCCCAGCTCAGTTGACTGAAACATTGTCACTCTAAACCAGTTTCTCTCTGAGCGCAAGGACACTCTTCTCTTTGTCACACTAATCCCGGCCCAGCTCAGGCGGTGCAGTCCTTCTGACCGGATCTCATTCCCATCACTTAAGCTCTTTGGTGCATACTCCTCCTTCTCCACCACTCATGGTGAGACTGCCGTGACACAGAGACCTGAGTCCTGGCACCAGCTAACTTCCCTTGCTCCTATACGCTTCCCCCATTTGCATGGTTTATTGCATCCCCACTACCCCCTTTGCCTTTCCCGGGCTGAGGATTCATGTGTTCAATTTCTTGAACTCCTAGGAACAAAGGCATCTGAAAACTCTAAGAAGGTGATCACTGGCCCCCACTCGCTGCCCAGACTGAGAGCGTGAATGCCAGTCAGCTTACTTCCCTGGAACTTCCCTCCTCAGGGAGGCTGTGGCTTAGCTGGCCTTGTCTTGAGGGGAAATTGAGTCACACCTGCCTACCCCAAACCTCTAGGATTCCAAGAGAATCAGAACATTATCTCCTCGACTCCCAAAGTGATCCTGGACTAGGGGTGAGCAATCTCTTTCTGTAAAGGGCCTGACAGCGAACATTTAGGTTTGGCAGGTGATAAGGTCTCTGTTACAAGTAATTAAGTCTGCTTTTATAATGTGGGAACAGCCATAGGCCATGATGTAAATGAATGAGTACGGCTGTATTCCAGTAAAACTTTGTGGACACTGACATTGGAATTTCAGGTCATTTTCATGTATCATGTTATTTTGATTTTTTTGTTAAAAATGTAAAAATTCCAGGGGTGCCTGGGTGGCTCAGTTGTTAAGCGTCTGCCTTTGGCTCAGGTCATGATCTCAGGATCCTAGGCTCCCTGCTCAGTGGGAAGCCTGCTTCTCCCTTTCCCTCTTCCCCTGCTTGTGTTCCCTTTCTTGCTGCCTCTGTCAAAGAAAATAAATAAAATCTTTTTAAAAAAATGTAAAATTTCCAGTGTTCAGTGTGGTGGTGTTGACAGATGGTGATCATTCCATACATTAGATCCCAAGACTCATTCATTTGATGTTTAAAAAAAAAAAGTAAAAATCATTCTTGCCTCAAAGGCCATACAAAGCCAGGAGGCAGGCCATACTTCCTGACCTCTGTTCTCCAACTCCAGGTCAGACATATGAAGATTTCAAATCCGTTCTGAAGTATTCACCGTGTGACCTGTGGGGAGCTAAAATTCTGACGCCTAGGACTCAGTTTCCTCATCTGCATAATGGAGATACTGTCTGTCTTGACAAGAATTAGAAATAGGACATGGCAGTGCTCAGGGAATGGTAATAATGCAGTAAATGAGACTTCCTTTCGCAGTCAGGGCAGACTGTCCTTTTGCAAGGACAGGAGTGGCTCTCTCTCACCTCTGGCGGGGTGGGTGGGGGGCGCTTATCAGTGGCACCAGGGCCTATTTCCAGGGCGCTGAGACAGTTTTCTGTGTAAAATAGTCAAACAGTGAGAGGCTGAGGACACTCTCCCTCAGGAGTGTCTGGGGCTTTGGAGTTTGCTGGCCCCACAGAGCTCAAGGAACCCAATTTTAAATGCGGAGTGAAAGTTCCTGCCTTCCCAGGAGGGCAAGATTGCAGAGTCCCCAACATGACCCCTGAAGAGAAGCCGAAGGAACAGGGTCCATCTGCTTACAGACTGGGCTCTGGGGCTAAGGGGGCCTGCACTGCTGATGTTTGGGCCACAGCTGAAGAGTCCTAACCACACCCTGTTAGTGGTTGTTTTCCCTGGGAAGTGGCGGGGTGGGGGTGGGGGTGGTGGTGGCCAGAAGTAACCTGGATTGTGGGGGTTCGGGGGGAGGGGTAGCTGCCCGGAGAACATTCTCCCCCAGAATCACTCTCTGTCCTTGTTGCAGAACAGTATCCAAAGGCATGCAGAAATGTTCAGAGAAATCCGTCCTGTGTACCGCCTGTTCCCATCTTCATTTGAAAGTGTATCTAAATACATAAGACATGGGGGAGGGGGAGGGAGTACGGTGAATATGGGGACAGGTGGCAGCCAGACCGAACCGTGGTGATCACGTGGCTAAGGCGCGTAAATGTCAAATCACTATGTTGTACACCTGAGACCAATATAATAATGTAGGTCAACTACACCTCTATTTTCAAAAATCCAAATTAAATTTTAAAAAATTAAGTATCTATTTGCATGAGGGGGGAAAAGTGCCTGGCAAAGCATCAAAATGACAATGTTTAGTTACCTCTCTGTAGAAGCAGGGAATTTAGGGTTTCTTTTTTATTCTGAGAATAAGCATGAATGACATTGCTTTGAAAAATCTACAGACCAAGTGGGTGGACAAGGGAGTGGAGGGGGACAGGAGGTGACCCTTGACACCAACTGAGAAGCCAAGACAAGAACCCGAATCCACCTGGCAGACACCCTCCAAGCTCCCAAGGTCCGGTGGCTTGACTTCCTGTAGCTCAGGATCCTAGACTTGGGAAAGTTCACTCTCTATGCTGTTCATATACCCTATAATCATTTTCTTTATTTTCCTGTTTTGTTTTGTTTTCTAACTTTTTGTTATTACCAGCTGGCCAAAGGGGACTTCAAAGAAAGGAGGCATCGTGTTCCTCCTTGCGCTGCCCCTGAGGGCTGGGTCTGGGGGCACCAGCAGGGACCAGACAAGGGTGGGTGATCTCTGAGGGAAAAGTCAGGGTCATTTGCATAATTAAACTTTCCTTCCCCAAGACTCCTTCCAGAGGGCTTTTTTTTTTTCCTTTTTCTTAAACTGAATCTGGAGGGCTGTGTTTTAAGAGAAGCTGCTCTCACACCACTTTACACGGTGGCCCTACCTTTGACCAGTTGGGATAACCAGGGAGGCCTTGCCGGAGCTCCCCCATCCCATCCAGGGGGCTTCACAAGCACTGCCTGCCTCTGTCCCTCTACAGTGTGACTTTAATCACTGGGCAAGTAAAAGCATCTCCTCCCTTTCAAGACACTGGGGATCTTGGAGCATGGACTATGGCTGGGAGGCAGGCAGACCTCTCACCTCATCAGGAAAGACTCAGAGTTCCCAGAGAGCTGAGCTCAGGAGAAGATTCTCTGTGCTTCTCTAATACCCTCTGCTCCGAAATGAATAAACTAAGCTGACTGAACCAGGGATTTGGCTCCCAGATCTGGGGCAGTCTGAAGCCAATCTGAATTTAAAGCATGTCCCCACAATGAAACTTTTACTTTCTAGGAAATCAGGGGTGAGGGTGAAATCAGAGATCAAGGAAGGGACCTTGTTCATATGCTCAGCCAAAAGTGCCCGGTGCCAACCAAAGGCGGCAGCTCTTCGCAGTGGGGACAGAGAATTCAACTGACGTTCTTCTGGTAAATGCCATGGTCCCTGCAGGCCAAGATGAGGCGAGTTGTCATACAGAAGGGATCAGAGATGTCCCATCCCCTGCAGGAGAAAGGACATGGGGACCTCTGGGGACGAGGCAAGGTGGAAGCCACAGGAATCCAGCTGAGGGATGCTCATGGGGTAAGAAACGCTGGTCACTCCCCAAGAGAGGTTTTCCAGGAGACAGAAGACATTTTTCTTGCATCCATGAAGGCACAGGCACACATCTTTGAAAGGTAGTACCATTTTTATTTAGTGTTGTAGAAATTTTAGGTTACTTCTTAAAAACAAAACCAAAGAAGTTAAAAACTCCCAAACTCAAAAGGCAGGAAATCATTTTATAATCCAAAAACGCTGGGCGATCTTTCAGTCGGGGGGTGGAAGAGGTCAAGTTAGTAGCCCATATAACAGATACTGAGAAACCAGAGTCGAGGTTGGTATGACTACCAGGAGGCCAAGTTCCCTACTGAAGGCAATTAATCTGTCAGCCTTGAGGGATCATTAATTCGTAGTTCTTAAGAGAAACGAAGACGATCGATTGGGAAAAGGGACTCAGGGAGGGAAGATGCTGCCTAATTGAACATTAAATTGTCTCTGGCCTTCAATTTGGTGTGTGGCTGTCATGGGTCCTCCCCCGCTCTGCCCTTTTGAGTTCCCACTGTTAGCAAAGCTGGAAACCACACAGACACAGACAGACAGACACACAGACAGACACAGGCACACACACACACACACACACACACACACCTATTCATTTGCACACACCTCCCACTCAGGGTCAACGGCTCTTCCGCATGGTCAAGGGCAGGCTTTCTTGTTCCTCCATTCTGATGTGCTAACACACAGGAATAAAACAGAGGGCAGGAAACCTGTCAGAGTCCAAGGAATGAGATGATAGGAAATAGGCAAAGGATTGACAATGTTTTCAGGAGGCTGACTTCCAGCTGAAGTTCACTGCGAGATGTTCGGTATTTAACCTGATGCTTCCCTAAAGAACCGACCACTCTTTCTGGAGGCAGCTAGGTGAGGCCAGGAAAAGAGCTGCTCCCGCTTCTCCAGAACACAGCCTCCTCCCAGCGTGCTTCCATCAGGCTGGCATTTACAGCAGCTGGAGCCAAGCCCCAACACTCCTCACGTAGGTGGGTACGTGCCCTCCAACGCTCCAATTCACCAACCCCTGCTAATGGGTCAGGGAGACATAAACCCTCCCCCAGAATAGAGCCCTCACGGACAGTCATTACCTCATGCCCTCCAGGTTAGCTACTTTGAGAGGTACAGGACTGCTATGAATTGGATTTCTTTTTCCCCAGCATTGGTAGAAGCCAGACACCCTTGAAGTAAATTATCCTTCATTCTCCAGAGTCCCCAAGTGGCATTTCAGAACACAGGAATTCACTCTTCTACCCAGACGTCCCTCTCAAATACTGACCGAGTTACACACCCGAGGTCCTAGCAGCAGATAGTATGTCCAGACCAAGCTCCTCTTGTGAACAGTGCAGGTCTCCACACCAGTTCCTCTAAGGAGAAATCCTTCAGAGCACCCCTGCCCCCAGTGCCCTTGGGTTATCACAGTCAAAATACATTTCTAAGTAAAACAAAACAAAAACAACCTATTGTGGAATGAATATATACACGTACATTTTCAGAGTGGAGGCGAATATACAATTCTCTTTCCAGGCACGTAAATAACTCTCATAGCACTACAAAAATACAAGTCATCTGGGAAGTTTACAGCTTCCACACTACTGTAAGAGCATTAAATAAAGCAGCTATAGATAATCAAAAGCTGATTCATCAAGTAACAGTATCACCCTTCAGAGCGAAGTGCTCTGATGTAACTAACGTTGCCGCTAGCATAAGATCCTGAAAAGGGCCCTGCTGCCAACCGTCTTGCCTCTTGCCTCCACAGAACAAGAACAGACAGAGAAGAGAGCCCCGAGCTAATAACTGTTGTTGCCTCAAACCCTGCCCTCTGCACTGGCCTGTGATCTCCCGCCCCAGAGACAGGTCAAGGTTAGGTAAGATTCTGTCACAACCAGGAGGAAAAAAAACGAGCAACACAGAAACATTCTAATTCCAGTATTAGTTTCTGAACAATGAAACGACCTGAAGAGTCTGACTGGGGTTATCATTTCAGAAACATCCTAGCTTCAGAAAAATAGGTGTGCTCTTCTAGCTTTAAAAATACAGCCAACCAAACTAAGTGTTACCTTCTTGCTCTTCATAACTTTATATCAAGGGTTGGGGGTGGAGTAGGGGATCGCCAGAAAGTGTTGTGAGGAGATCAGGGAGCCAAGCAAAGGCACTGGGGCAACAGGCCACAGGAGTCCTACTGAGATCATTCCCTACCTGGTGGAATCAAGTTAGTCAATGCTTTGGCCACCTGATCCCTTCTCAAGGCACTGATGAGGCCACTCCAGCCAGCAGGAGCCCGGCTACGGTGAGACTTCGACCAACCCCCCGTTAAACGAATGCGAAGTGACAAACTCCCTGTTCTGCCTCTCCCGTCTCCACAGGTGGGCCCTATGCACCCATCAGGAGCACACCGTAAGGCTGAAGAGTTGTGGCATTTAGAAAAGGCAGCTTGTTCCAAAATCTAGCAAGGCACACTCACAAGGCTTTCGTTCACCTCCCCCGCTTTGGTCAAATCAGTAAGACCAAGTCCAAGAAGCCCGGGAGGTTTACACGGTATCAAAACTTAGCACCTCCAGCCAAACGCCACCCTGAGCTACTCTCAAAAGCCAAGCAAGCAGGTGCCCGGTCCTTCTCATTTCACCCCGCACTTCACTGACGGGGCGGGGTGGCAGCGGGGGGTATGTATTTTTAAATGTCAATATCGAAGAGAGAAAATCCCAGTGTTAGATACATGAATCACCCAGCACCACCCGAAGCTCTGGGCCAGGAGCAGATCTTATGACCACATCTCCGGTCAGAGCATAAAATATTTACAAGATAGTTAAAGGCACAGTGGCATTTAAAAATAAAACCCTGGGAATGTACAGTAAAAGATTCATTGTAATAATTAACCTGGCTTCAGTTGCTGGAACTGACTCTTGCCAGATAACAGGCAAGGGAGGCGGCTGGTGACTTCGAGCCTGTGTGCTGGTTATCAGGCCTACGGAGTCCTTGACCTCAGGAGCGGGTGGAAACGAACTCACAGAACAGTCTGGGTCTCCTAGGCTGACGAGTCACATCTTTCCTGCCTTTTTGCCGACCTGAGCCGGGACGCGGAGGATGTTGGGGGTTTCCTCCATGACCCTGACGAGCAGGTTGTCAATGTAGTCTTCCAGCTCCCGGACCTGAAACTCCTTCTTGCTTATCGTCTCCTTCTGCTTGAGGACCAACTGGATCAGCTCATCATGGGTCAGCTGTGCGTATGCAAAGGCGGGGTCCGAGGGGTTGTATTTCTTCAGAAGGGTAGAGAATGGGGAGAAAAAGTGGTAAAGTCAGCAAAGAAGACAAATATCGAAAAGAAATCTAAAAGAGGAACATGTTATTAGCAATCAGAGTCTCCCAGGAATGTGTTTTCAGTTCAGGTGGGAAACCGGGTCATTGACAAAGTTTTCTGTAAAGGACCAGAGAGTAAATATTTGAGGCTTTGCCAGCCACATACGGCCTGTGTCGACCATTCTTCTGTTGTTTCATTTGTTATTTCTGTTTTACGACTTTATAAAAATGTACAAACCGCACTTGGCTCCTAGGCTACAAACCCCTGGGTTAGACTCTGGATTTGAGGTTTCAGGAAATGTAACACCTGGATGTCTCTGAACACTCTGAGCGGGCACAGCGAATTATGAACACCAGCTGAGAGACCCAAGCTAAGCTGGCCCATGAGAAAACCCTAGCGACAGAAGGTGCGGGAGATGACGCTCACCCATCCCCTCCCCAGGCAGCCGCTCATCCCGGACCGCCTGCTGCTTCCTCTGCGACACCCAGAAGGGGTCCAAGGAATGCTGAGGCACTGGCCACTCAGAGAGCCCACCTGAAGTCACGTCATCCTCAAGACATACGCAGAATCAGAGCTAAGAGCCATGACGGCGCATCGTGCAGTCAGCACACTCAGACATCAGGGCGCACCCTCTGGGCACTCGGTGGCCACAGCCAGGGCTTAGCAGCCGCGCTCTTGCCAACAGCAGGAGCCCTAAAGAATGACTCCATCAGCATTTATAATCCGGGGTGACTGGAGTCCAGCTGCAAAGTGACCAGGCCCGAACCGTGAGGAAACCAAGATAAGGATTAAATGGAAAAGTACCATGTCGTACCAAGCCTCCAGCTGGAGAAGCTAAGTCGAGAGCGGAATCATCACTCACTCTTTTGACAACATGATAGAAGGCCCTGCTTAGTATAGTGGCGCATCGGCTGCCTATACCCTAGCCAGATATCAGAGAGAAACCCCATCGCTCTTATCCTGGCTCGTAAGGAAAGCACAGTGCTCACAGCCCCGGTTTAGAAGCACACACCGACATCTCCATGCACACAGCAGGTGTGCACCTAACACGGACTGCACAGAAACAGGCGAGAGGTTGGACTACTTTTTTGAGAAACCACTTCTCCCTTAATCTTTTTATTGTTTTAGTTTCTTAACTTGTTGAAGGTACACATTCCTCTGGACCTCAATCATCCCATTAGTAATTCTAAAACCATCTTCAACCAGAAAGTTGAGCGTCTGGAAAAGGACGCTAGGGACAGGTTGTACAGGGTGAATGCACTTAACATTACTGATCTGTACACTTAAAAATGCTTACGGTTCCTCGTGTACTGTTGCTGGGAAGGCGAGCTGGTGCAGCCACTGTGGAAAGCAGTATGGAGGTTCCTCAAAAAATTAAAAACAGAATTGAGGGCGCCTGGGTGACTCAGTCAGTTAAGCATCTGCCTTCAGCTCAGGTCATGATCAGGGTCCTGGGATCCAGTCCCACATCGGGCTCTCTGCTCAGCAGGGAGTCTTCTTCTCCCTCAGCCCCTCACCCTGCTCATGCTCTCTCACTCTCTCTTTTTCAAATAAAAAAATAAAAATAAAAAAATCTTTAAAAAACCAGAATTGATCCAGTAATCCTGCTACTAGGTATTTACCCAAAGAATACAAAGAAACTAATTCAAAAAGATATATGCACCCCCTATGTTTGTTGTAGTATTATTTACAAGAGCCAAACTATGGAAGCAGCCCAGGCGTCCCTTGACTGATGAATGGATAAAGAAGTGGTAAACACACACACACAGACACAGGAATATTACTCAGCCATTAAAAAAAAAAAAAGACATCTCACTGTTTGCAATGATGTGGATGGAGCCAGAGAGTATGATGCTGAGCCAAATAAGTCAGTCAGAGAAAGACAAGTACCATATGCTTTTACTCATATGTGGAATTTAAGAAACAAACCAAATAAAGAAAAGAGATAAACCAAGAAACAGACTCTTAACTGTAGGAAACACACAGATGGTTACCACAGGAGAGGTGGGTGGGGGATGGATGGAATAGGTGAAGGGGCAAAGAACATACTTATGATGAACAGAGTAATGTATATAAAATTGTTGAATCACTAAATCGTACACCTGAAACTTATATAACACTATCTGTTGTCTATGCTTGAATTGAAAAACATTTTTTTAAATTTTGGAATGCTGCAGATGATAAAAGTTTTATGTGATGTTTATTTGACCCCAATTTTTTAAAAAGGAGGTGCATGTCTGTTGATGGAGTCTATCAAGGAAAAAGTACTCTTTGGGAACAATAGCCCAAGAAAAATGTCCTCGAGCGTTTTTAGATTGTATCTCTATCATACAAGGATTTTATTTATTGAAAATTGAAATTAAAATTGAAATTGAAAATCGTGGAGCACATAAGGTACGGTGCAAGGCAGTTTGTGAGATCGAGAGATGAAGAAGCTGTCGGCTGGAGGCAGGAGCAGCAGGGGCTCCTCGAGAGTGGAGACCAGGTCCTTACAGCGCTTCACACACAAGGGCTTAGGGGCGTGGGAGTCCAGAGAGCTGGACAGCCAGGAGCCCTCTGCTACACAGGGGACTGGGACAGACTGCAAAGATGAGCAGTGATACCACAACTAGACTTTGAAAACGAGTTAAAATTAATTTTCCCCCGCGGCGCCTGGGTGGCTCAGTTGGTGAGGCATCTGCCTTTGGCTCAGGTAATGATCCTGGGGTCCTGGGACTGAGGCCCATGTCGGGCTCTCTGCTCAGTGAGGAGTCTGCTTCTCCCTCTCCCTCTGTACGCTCTCGCTCTCTCTCAAGCAAATAAATAAAATCTTTAAAAAATTAATTTTCCCCCAAAATAACAGAATTGTTTTCACTATAAGGGGAATATTTCCTCATAATGGAAAATCTCAAATACAGAAGAGGGAAAAAATTATTACCTAGAGCTCCAACACATAACATTTGGGTCTCTCCTTCCTTCCTTCCTTCCTCCCTCCCTCCCTCCCTCCTTCCCTCCCTTTCTTCCTTCCTTCCAAGATTTTATTTATTTGACAGAGAACACAAGTAGGCAGAGAGGCAGGTGGGGTGGAGGGGAAGCAGGCTCCTTGCTGAGCAGAGAGCCTGAGCAGAGAGCCTGACGTGGGACTCGATTTCAGGACCCTGGATCATGACCTGAGCTGAAAGCAGAGGTTTTAACACACTGAGCCACCCAGATGCCCCGGGTCTCTTATTTCTTCCTTGGTTTCTTTATGGTATGTTTTACAACTTCAAGCATCATGCAGAATATGGTTTTCAAGTATTTTAAAATTATTACTTTCTGAGCATTTTCCCATCACTAAATTTTAACAAAAATCATTTTTTTAAGACTATTTACTTATTTCACAGAAAGAGGGAACACAAGCAGGGAGAGTGGGAGAGGGAGAAGCAGGTTTCCTGTCAAGCAGGGAGTCTGATGCAGGGCTCAATCCCAGGAACCTGGGATCATGACCTGAGCCGAAGGCAGACACTTAATGGCTGAGCCACCCAGGCACCACCTATTTTTTTTGGTTGGTTTTTGTTTGTTTGTTTAGCAGAAATCATTTTTAATGGATGCTTGAAATTTCATTATATTTTACCCATCTCCTTTGTTATTTAGGTTTTTTCAGTTTTCACAATTATATATAACATTTTTATTAAGATGCATGAGCATAATCTTGGATCACATCTCTAAAATAGTTCCTTAGGATAAATGCGTGGGGTTGAAAAGGGATGTACGCTTCATACCTTGCAAACTATGAAACAGCTATTCAATTTGGATTTCATAATCCAAAGAGGAAAGTATGTGAGGCTTTGAAATCATTAGGCAATCCTACACATGTGATGACTTAAAAATTATAAAACAATCCAGCATTACAGAAAGTGAACAACAGCCATGGCGAGGAAGAGGTACAAGGAAAATAACCATTAATTCAAGAAAAAACAGTGCCCATTGTCACATATTTCCTTCCAGGATTTTCATATTGGATGTTCCCACCATGGTTGCAATAATAATGACGTATATTCAGATCCGTGTCTCACTGTTTCCGTATTAACAGGACAGATGATTTTTGGATCTAGTTGGCTGTATTATTTTTAAATGGAAGTATTAAAGCCACCTGGGTAAATAATACACTCCCTTAAGTTTCAAATAATCTAAAAGCAATGGAGGTCCTGAAACAGCAACCGAAAAACAAACAAACAAACAAACAAAAAAACAATAAAAAAAACCCACCCAAACAAAACCCAAAACCCATTATGGTAATGATTCAGCTAGCTTTTCATAACTTCAGCCAGGCAGTTTCTTTCCCTAACCTCTCTCTCACTCTGCCACATTCCAAAGAGTAGTTACTTTTGTAAATATTATTTACGGCTTAGTACAAGGCACCTGTTATATGGGGGGCCAACAAGAGTCTCTAAGAAACTCTCCCTCTTTGCTCAAGAGTATTTATTAGGTATGGTCCATGGCCAAGTGCTTTGTAGCAGGCAGCCAGAGGGGGCAGTGGCCGGGCTTACAAATCATAAGCAAAATAACCAGCAGTTGCCTTTGTTTTAAGGCAAGTTATTCCCTCAGTCAGGGCCAGGAGATAAGCCCCTGATTAAATGAGCTTTGAAGAATAAATAAAATGGGAGCCAAGGGTCTTGCTCACTTCCCGAGAGCTGGCTGTTTGTTTCTCTTTGGAGCCCAGCTGCATTCCACAGTACAAGGAAGAGGGGATGGGAGGCTGCTCCATGACCCTAGCTTTCATTACTGTCCCTTTTATACTGTTCTTTTGCCTGGTTTCCTGATAAATATCGTTAAACCCCAGGAAGGTATGTGCTGCCTCTTCCCCACACCCTCAGAGGCCCACCAAGCTGAGCTGGGTAAGTTATGGAACATTTCTAGGTAAGGGCTAATTAATACACAGCAGGCACATCTGAAAATGATGCTCACTTACCACTGGCCCCAGCACCACACAGTACAAGGGAAGAGAAGGCAAAGAGGCTAGAAGATGCTAACTTGTTCGCAGTAACCATCTGTGGCCACTGCTCAGCTTCTTTCCCTGAACCTCGGGTCCAGCTTTCAGGAAACCTTTTGCCCAGCTCCTGATGGCAGAGATGCAATGGAGCCCAGGTGATAACAAACAAATCAGTACTTTAAAAACCCTTGCAGGGAAGGTGCCTAGGTGGCTCAGTAGGTTAAGCGTCTGCCTTGAGTTTGGGTCATGATCCTGGGATCCGGTCCCTCACTGGGCTCCCTGATGAGCAGGAAGTCTGCTTCTCCCCTTCCTCCCTGCTCATGCTCTCTCTCCCACTCTCTCTCTCTCTCAAATAAATAAATAAATACTATCTTAAAATAAAATAAAAATGCCTACAGGAGTAAAAGAGAAGTGAGCAAGAAATTTTTATTCTAAAACCACAAAGACTACTTGATGTCTTATAGTGCACTGGACTGTAAAATGTCTCATTGAATGAAGCATCTAGATGTCCTGGACTAAAATAGAAATAAAGTTTATTTCTACTGACAGTGGTCCCCAGTAGTCAGTCAGGAAATTCCTCTCCACATATTTGAAACTCAACACAGCCTTGCCCACCAGACCATCTGTAAATCATTCTCCCTAGCCCAAGTGATAATGAGTCAAAGACCAGAGGTTTGCCAGGAGGCAGTGTTCTAGATTCTCCTGATTTTAGAACCAGAAAGGGCAGGATGGAGATGCTCCAAAGCAGAGATCATCTGAGGGGCTGGTTTGGTTTGGCTGGTGGGCAGGAGTTTTTTTTTTTTTTTTAAGTTAGCCCAAGCTTTTGAAGAGAAGAGATCCTCTAATCAAGAAATACTCTTCCTGGGGGCACCTGGGTGGCTCAGTCGTTAAGCGTCTGCCTTTGGCTCAGGTCATGATCCCAGGATTCTGGGATCGAGCCCCGCATCAGGCTCCCGGCTTGGTGGGAAGCCTGCTTCTCCCTCTCTCACTCCCCCTGCTTGTGTTCCCTCTCTTGCTGTGTCTCTCTGTCAAATAAATAAATACAATATTAAAAAAAAAAAAAAAAAAAGAAACACTCTTCCTGGAAATTTAGCTTAGGAAGGGGAAAAGTTCTATGCAAGAAATTGTTGACTGTAGCGTTACTCATATTGAAAAACAGAAAATAACCCAAATATCCAATAATAAGGAAATGGTTAAGTAAATATGAGTATAACCATGTCAAAGAATAATTACATAGCAACAAGCAAAAAATGCTTATGATCTACTAATAAATGAAAAACAGACTGGAACAGTGTTTCCAATGAGGGGGATGGAGCTGGAAAACTACCATTTCGCCACTGCCATATTCACTGATGGATACGAAAGACTAGGAACAAAAGGGCGGTGAGGAACAGAATGCTTACATGGCCTGACATTAACTCCCCACAAACTGTATTGTATTGTAAAGGGGGAAACAGCATCGATTGTAAAGGGGGAAACAGGAACTTTATATTACAGAACCTCATGGGCACCGCCTGAAGTCAGTCATCAGAGTTAACGCTCCCACTACCGTGACAAGAGGATATAATGTGCCTCCTTCTACTATGCACCGAGAAGGACGCGTGATTTGCACGGTTAATTCCTGCCAGGAATGCATGACCTCAACCAAACCAGGAGGAGAGAGTAGACAAATCCAAACAGAGGAAAATTTCTACAAAACAACTGATCTAAAGTCTTCGAGAATGTCAAGGTCTTGAGAGACGTCAAGAAGGCTGGGGAACGATTCCAGGATAAAGGAGCCTAGGGAGACATGGCAACAAAACGGTGGGAGATTCTAGATTGGATCCTGGAATGGAAAGAGAAACAGGAAAACTCACGAGACAACGGGTGAAGCTCAAGCATGGGCTACAGATGAGAAAAGAGGAGTACACAGGACTTCAAATGTCTTGATCTTGATTAAATGTCCTTATTCTTGGGAATTACACGCTGAAGTATTTAGTGGTAAATGGGGCATGAGGTGGGCAACTTACCCTCCAATGGCTCAGACAAAAAAAAAAAAAAGAAGTATGTCTATACAAAGAGAGAACAGACAGGGACAGGGGGAGAGAGAGGGTGAAAACGATAAAGCAAATGTGGTAAAATGTCAACGACTGATGAACTGGGATGAAAGGTTAATAGCAGTCCTTTGTACTATACTCGCAACTTTTTTTTTTAATTTGCAATGATTAACAGAATAAAGTTTCAAAAAAGTGTATCTAGGCAATGATGACAAGCACAAGAATTTTACATTTTTGCCAAAAGATAAAAAAGGATACATGGGCAAATGAAAATATCTGATTAGACTGGACCAGCCAGTGGGTGACATTTTCTTCTCACTAAAAAGCGGCCCCGGTGTCAGTCTTGTTGCTGGAGACCCAAGCAATTCGACAATGACTAACTCTAAGGGGAGAAGTAATAGTCCCTGGGAAATGTAGGGGCTTCCAAAGATTATACGAAGACATAGACGTACATATGGTCAAGTCGTTCCTGGCCCTACCTGCTGCCCAGGAGGGTCTACATAATGGTGACTCTTGAAACAGGTTTTTTATAGCTAGCTAGCTAGCACACCTACTTCTTGGAGGAGACATACCTTCATCGCAGTTTCATTGATCAAGTTCTCGCTGATGATGGTGGCGGTGCCCAAGCTGGAGCTGGCAATCTTGGTGGCTGTTGTGTTCATTGGCTTCACAGGGTGAAGTCTAAAGAGAAGGGGAAAGGATCCTTAGACCTTCGGTAGTGACAAAACCGAGACACCGTCCACCTCACGGACCGCAGCCGGTGAGACAGACAAGAGGGCAGAGTGGTGATGCGCTCTCCGTATGTCCAGTCCGGCAGATGCCGGAGTCCCTGCGGAAATGAGGGCGGTCAGCACGAGGCAGCCACGTGCAGGCCCACCATGCGCACCGGAAAGTCAGGTGTCCTGACGTTCTCACCATACCCTTGGTCTCATTATCAACGTCAGAAGAACACTAAAGCCAGCCTCTTATTCTTGAGGCAGCTAAAGCCTAGGACCCACACCAGTGCGAGGGGTCCTACAGAGCCTCCCGTTCCTCAACAGTAAAGAAAGTGCCAGGAACAAACATGCCAGCTTCACCTCAAAGCAAGCTCTCAACACTGCTCCGTTCTACCACTCCGCCTCAGCTGGTTTCTGATGCTGGGAAGATACCGGAAGATGCAGTTTCAGAGCCCCAAATCTGTGCAGAACAGTTCCTAAACCATCTGTGAAGACTGTCCCAGTGTTCTCCCTACAAATGCAGGGGTGTCCTGAGGAGGAATTCCCACCCTGGGGGTTGGGGGGAGACCCTTTGCAAACAGGCCCTACCAGCAAACTGCGTGGCATATGCCATCGGGATAGCCGTGCACTTAGAAAGCCATCCACCTCAGCAGGCAAAAGGCAAAGGGTTGGGTTATGGGGTGGGCCTCACTCCCATGGACAAAACGACCTTCCCCGACTCTCACCTGTGCTTGGCTGACCCCGTTCCCACGCTCGGCTGAGCTGAGATAGGAAGTGTCTCTGAGGGTGAGACCCAGGCCTGAAGAAGCGGCTTCTTCTTGCCAGAACTTTCCACTTTACCAGCGGGACCCTCTGCTGTGGCCTTTTTTTGAGATTCTGCTGTACTGGTGTGGTGAGTGTCAGCATGTGGGTAGCCGGGGAAAGAGCGTGTAACAGGAAAGTTCTCAGAAAAGGAGGGACTGGCTATAGGAGAATCCAGGGCTGGATCAGGAGGCGGGCTTGGCCTCCCATTTCCCATCAGCTTTTCCCTCTCGCCGCTGCCAGGACGTGGCAGCTGTTCATCCGACCATGAGCTCTTGCCAAGATCTGGCTTATGAATTCCTGAAGCGGCCGTTGGCTCTGGAGAGGCTGCCGCAGATGTTTTGGGTGCTTTTGACCCGGGGTCATGTGGACCCTCTGCAGGCGCCGCCCAGCCGTCTGCCTCACCCCTCGGCCCCTTTTCCATCTCAGGACGGGCAGGGGACAGGCTCAAGGAGGAAGGTCCTCCTTCTGGGGCTGCCACCTGGGCTGTCTCTCCATTGTCTTCAACCTGATCCACTCTCTCATCATCTGATGCCACTTCAGGAATGGAAGGAAGGGTTAAGCCCAGATCAGCCACAACTGGAGAGTTAACCCCTGGGGTAGAGTGAAGGCCACTCAGGGGCTCGGACAATAAACCTTCGTGATCACTGGCTTTGCTCTGAATTGGGGCCATGAGTGTATCTTCTGGCTCAATCCTCAAGAGCGGAATGTCTTTCCCTGAGCCTGCTTCACTCATGGGGGCTTCTGAGCCCTTCTCCTCGCAAGACGGGCCGGGAAGGGGGCCTGCCACGGAAGCTGGCACACCACACTGCGCTGCTGGGGACACAGCTTCCCTCTCTGCGGCCTCAGCAGACTCCCTGTCTGACGCATTTCCAGCGGCGGCTCCCTCGTGTGTCAGCTCCCGGGGATGCCTTCTGTCCTCTTCCACTGACTGGGCGGCCTGCTCTACCTCCCCTTGTGTAAAGAGCTGCTCAGAAAATGACACGTGCTTCCTGATTTTCTTTCGGCTCTCACCCACATTCTCTTCGCGTCTCCGCATCACGGAACCAAGAGGGGGAGCGGATTCTCCCATCTGAAAAGGGGGCACCGCTTCCGTCATTGCAGAAGTCATGCTGTCTTCCCGAAGGCTGGTCTCCCCAAAGGACACAGACGGACTCTCCGAGTCTGTGCTTGTCCTCATCGGATGCTTCCCCGCTGGGCTTTCAATCTGGCCACTTTGGAGTGAAAGGCCGAATGTTACTTCTTGGGCCTCTTGAGATGAAGGGACAGAGTCTCGTTCTGAGGCAGGAAACCCCAGAATTTCTTCCTGGTGCCCCATTTCAGACTGCTTCACAAGAGACTTTTCTGAGTCGTTACCAACAGTGCTGTCTGGGCCTATCTCACTGGTCTTCCTCGTGGGAGAATCTTCCGTCCCTTTACATGCTGGAGTGGGTAGCTTTCTGGAAAGTGACCCCAAGACACCAGAAACGGTCTTTGGAACTTGTATTAAACTCTCCCTTGGCAATTCTGCCTTAAGGGGCAAAGATGGTTCTTCCGGACTGGCCTGGCCCTTGTCTGTGGAAGGCCAGTTCTCAACCGGCGTGGATGTGGAAATGGGAGCCACTATGGGAGATGGGAAAGAGAAGACAGAGGGAGATTCAGAGGACGGTGTCTCTGCACCATGCCCCAATTTAGAAGGGACAGGTGTCTGGCCAGAACTGGAAAGAAGAGCAGAAAAGAAGACAGGAGACTCAGGGGAAGAAGAAAGCCTGGCTGTAGGTTGAGCCTCTGGAGACACGTCCAGTCTGCAAAAAGGACAAAATAAAATCTGCAGGTCAGTTGCAGATGCATCGTGAGAGGCAAGAAACACAAATAAAGTTGTTCCAAAGGGGCAAACACTTTTATAGGGGGGGGGGGGGGCAATATCTTAAGAAGTTAAAGAAGAAACATCAATTACTTAAGGTAGGAAAGGGACACTTTTATCACCACACATCTGCCACACAAAGGGCTTGTTGCAACAGAAACAGAAAGCCCCAGGTAAAGCAACAGTCCACGGCTGCTTTTGGTGATAAACAAAAAGCATCTACAAAGTTCGAAGCAGTAAAAGATGCCCCTCCGGGCAATGGGCACTAATTCTGAAGAGGAACAGTCTGCGCGTGCGCGCGCGTGTGTGTGTGTGTGTGTGTGTGAAATCAGAGTACATAGAATCTCAAAAAAAGTCTCTCCCACCCAAGACCACAGAAATATTGTTAGTGTGACTGTGAGTCAGGCTGAAAGCAGAAAGCCCCCAGTGTTCACTCAGGCTCTCGCAACTAGATGTACAATGGCCACACAGAGAACGGGCACGCTTGGGAGCGGACCAAGGGGCCCCCGCGCCAGCACACCAATGCCAAATTGCAAGGAGGAAAGATATCATCTGCCTCGAAGGGAAATCCGTGATGAGGACTCTAAAAAAACACATGTTCTCCACACACAACAACCAGAATCTGGTATGCCCCGCTTGGAATACTCGGAGTTTGCTACAAACCAGGGCTTTCCATGCGGGCGGATCATCCTACCGAAAGGGGGCAGACTGTACCTGTTGGCTGGGGGGGGGGGGACACAGGGGCCCATCGCTGCAATCTGTGCAGGGCGGGCCAGCCAACGGGCTGGTAGAAATAACTCAGACCATTGAATGCTTGCCATACACAGGTACCACCCTGGATCCCCGGGCAAGGGCTGCTCCAGCAGCAGACCTTTCTGATCGCCACGAACAGCCCCGCATGAGGAAGGCTGAAACTCACCGAGGCTTGACGGCTTTGGTCTGCGGAGCCCGTGCAGAGCCCACGGATGGTGCAGCTTCCCACTTGGGCTCTCGGTCGGCTTCCGGTTCTGTGACCTGCACTTCCTCAAAGGGATTCAGGGATTTACCCCGTCCAGAGACGACAGCCAGAGTGTCCTTCTCAGTTCTCTTCGGTAAGCCTTCGTCAGGCCCCGGCCGGTCATCCCTTGGTCGGACCTCCGGCAGCGGCGCGCCTTCCTTCTCCTTCCCCAGGACGGTAGGCGGACTTCTGCCCTCACTGCCCTTAGCCACGTCCTTCTTTCCCGTCACCAGAGAAAGCAACGAGGACTTCTTGTTCTCCTGCTTCTTGCTCTCTTTGGTTTCTTTTGTGGCTTCTAAGCTCACAGGAGCCGCGCTCTCCCGAATATCCCCACTGCCCTGCGGCCGGTAGGACGGCAGAGACATGGTTTTCAGAGAGTCCTTGGTGGAAGACTCAGAGAACCACGGGTCGGAAGACACCGCCCCTCCATCCCCAGGCTCCTTCCAAGACCGAGGAGCCAGGTTCTCAGTGGAGGAGAACAAATGCTTCTTCCTGAAGCCCTGGGGGGACGGGGAGGAGGAGGGGGTGCTGTCCTTGGTCTCGCTCTTGGCTTCCGGCTGCTCCATGTAAACATGGTTCCCATTGATACAGACATTAGAGCGAGAAAGGACGTCATTCTTAGACCGAAGGCCACCAAGAAAGGAGAGTCCTTCCTTCTTGGGAAGGCTGAAATTGATCTGGTTCAGTTGCTTAGCATCCGCACTTCCTGTTCTCTTGTGAGACATCACTGTGGGAAGAAAAACAAAGATTAAAAGGAAACAAGAAGTTAAACGACTGGTTCACAATCAGAAGGGGGTGCCCATCTCTCGTGTCTGAATGCATTTCTGGTTCTCAGCATGGGAATGTGTTCCTGGCATCTAACGGGGAGAGGCCAGGTATAGTGCTAGAGATCCTATGAGGCATGGGGCAGCCCCTACAAATGAGGAATTATCTGGCCCCAGCTACCAACAGTGCAGAGCGGAGGTTGAGAAACCCTGCATTAAACCAATGAGAAGGGCAGGATCTGGCCAACAGTAAGGTTTGGTCATTGAAACTGAAGTTCAAATCCACAGTTAATTCACAGATAAAGGAACTAGATTCCTCAGCTTTCACTAAGGATAATTCCCATGAGGGTTTAACACATTAACAGGATCTCAATAAATACCTGATGAGTTAATAAAATGTCAGAATTACTCCAAGGTTCCATGATTTTACCCTTAATTTAAAAAAAGAAAAGAAAGAAAAGGCCTGGATACATTCATTCTGTTAACTCCAAAAGCTTTTTAAATCTACATCAGTTACAGAGATAAAACATTCTCTTTTTGGGGCACCTGGGTGGCTCAGTGGGTTAAAGCCTCTGCCTTCGGCTCGGGTCATGATCTCAGGGTCCTGGGGTCGAGCCCTGCATCAGGCTCTCTGCTCAGCAGGGAGCCTGCTTCCCCTCTGCTCTCTGCCTGCCTCTCTGCCTACCTGTGATATGTCTGTCAAATAAATAAATAAAATCTTTAAAAAAAAATTCTTTTTTTAGTCTTTTTTTTTTTTAATTTTACTTATTTATTTGAGAGAGAGGGAGAGCACAAGCATGGGGAGTGGCAGAGGGAGAAGGAGAAGCAGACTCCCCAATGAGCAGGGAACCCGAGGTGGGTCCCAGGACCCTGGCATCATGACCTGAGCCAAAGGCAGAGGCTTAACCGACTGAGCCAGGCATTTTAGAAAAGGAATTTGTACATTCTTGGGAACCAGAGGGCTTAAAAAGAGAAGCCTTTCTGACCAAGACTAACCACCATCATGACCATCATGACCACCATCATCATTTCAGTAATCGAGGAACTGAATTAAAATCCTTCTCTTTAAGATTTGCTTCTTCTCTCTGAATGCAAAGGGGCTAAGAGAGAGAGAGCCCAAGTAAGAAGGAGGAGCAAACTTACCATCTGAGGCAGAGGGGGAGTCATCCTCATTGTCCTCATCCTCCCACCCGGACTGAAAGCCTCCAGGACGAAGCAGCACTCGGTCTGACTTTGAAGTAGGCAGGACGGACATGGACTGGGAAAGTGGCGTTTTCTGCAAATTCGACTTGGAAAACAGGGTCTTGATCTTCGATTTCTTTTTCTTGTCTTTGGAAGGAGACTCATCATCACTGTCAGCGGAGGGTGTCACACTGGGAATGATGGCTGAGGCGGTGTCCGACGCGCTATCCTTATGCTTCCCCTTGATCTTGTCCTTCAGTTTCCCAAATGGATTCCGAGACTTGTCTTTCATGGAGAGGTCAAACATGCTAGCAGTCATGTTGTTTCTCATAAACTGGATGTCAACCTCAATTGCTCCTCGCTCTTTATCCTTCTTTCCGGGTTTGGATTTCAAGGTATACCACCTACAAGGAGAAAGGCTGAGAGGTTATCTTTGAATCGAAGAGCCTAAAACAACGTTCAGCATCCCCATTAACCAGCTTTTCTTCTCTGTTACCACCAACCTCTCACATATATACATTCTTGGGCTCTCTTCTTTGGAATAGAGAGGGTGGGGTAGGGGAATGGGGGCAGAACTTGCAGTTTCGTTTTTGAGAAGACACCCACTAGGGAAAGACAAAATCTGATTCTGTACTTAATGTACAGTCACTTAAAATATTGATTTAATAGCTATTTCTAACAATAAAATAAGTCAAGCAAATATTCCATCCAGTCATTTCCTGTGACTGGTATTTTCCGCCAACAGGGTAAAAATGCAAAGATCACACACAAACAGTTAAGAAGGCAGAATGCAAATTTACACATACATCTCAGAAAAAAAAAAAAAAAAAAGCAAGCGTTTATAGAACAGTCCCTGTTGGGGAATAACAGAAAATATAAGACAGAGAAAATTTTTTTTCCAAAAAGAATGAACTACGCCAGTCACAAAATGACAAACATTGTGGGACACCTGGGTGGCTCCGTCGATTAAGCATCTGCCTTCAGCTCAGGTCATGAACCCAGGGTCCTGGGATCGAGTCCTACATCAGACTCCCCGTCCAGTGGGGAGTCTGCTTCTCCCTCTGCCTGCTGCTTCCTCTGCCTGTGCTCTCTCTGACAAATAAATAAATAAAATCTTTAAAAACAAATGTCATTGTATGATCCTACTTATATGAGGTATCTACAGTAGTCTGATTCATAGAGTGGAAATGGTGGTTGACAGGGGCTGGGGGTAGCAGTGAATGGAGAATTAGTATTTATGGGTATAGTTTCAGTTGGGGAGATGAAAAAGTTCTGGCCAGGGATGGTGGTGAGGGGTGGCATAACAATGTGAATGTACTTAATACCATAGAACTATACACTAAAAAAATGATGAAAATGGTAAATTTTGTGATGTATATTTTACCACCCTAAAAAAAATTAGAAACTGAAAGGAAGCATTCTTTCCTACCTTATTAATCCAAAAAAAGAATATTTCAAACATTATCAAGTATTTCAACTGGTCATTTGCAAACTGCTTGAAGATATGGCCAATATTCCATCAGCCCAACTCTCCTGAAAGACGATGTCAGAAAAAGGAAATCTCCCCTGGGCATTTTCCATCTGGGGAACTGCAAGAACATGTGGCTGATGAGTAGCACGACCCCTACAGAGCAGAAAAGTCTGAGTGCGTGGCCCACTGAGAGCCATCCCTAGGGTTACCGTCAGACCGAGAAACCACATTTGGATGTTCTGTGTCGTGACCTACTTAAGAGCTGAGGGCCAGGGACGTTAAGGAAATGATAGGTTTCCTCAAACGAGCTGTTTCCTCGTTCACCCTCAGCCAGTCTGCTCGCAGGGCGATGGCTGCCCCACTAGCTCAGCTGATTACAAACTGAAAGCAAAGGGGCAGAGCGAAGCAGACACCTAACACTTAAACAGCGCCTACAGCATACCCAGCACTGTGCACGCTTAGGGACACCCTCATCCAAGTCTCACAAGACACTGAGGCTCACAAGTGCAGTGATTTGTCCAAGGTCTTGCAGCTGGTAAACGGCATGGGCAGATTCTGAGTCAGTTCTGCCTTCCTCCAAAGCCCCTACTCTTACACCAAAATTCCTGCTTTGCACTCTTTTGACTCACCTCCCCTTTGCAACATACGAGAGGAGGGTTCAAACTTAAATTCTTTCTGAGGCAAGTTTAAGCTTCTCATTTAAGAGTCCTATCAGAAGAAAAAACGAAGTGTTCTCGGAAGAAAGGGGGAAACCCGTCATGGCTGGCCACCCATCATAAATCATAAGATTACACAGAAAGTCCAGTGTGCCAAGTCATGAAGAAGAACTTAGACTGGATTTTTAAAAAACACAGCCAACATCGGAGAAGATGAGGTGAGCTATGATTCTGGACCTTTAGGGGGAAATCTTTTATGGTTTTTAAAACCACAGGCCACAGCTGGAGGTGGGGGGCAGATGCAAGGTCTTTCTACACAGCGTCACCCCCGCCAGTCTGGTGTCTTTCCAATCTATTTTCTAAGACTTAGCCTGGAAGCGATTGCATGTTTGTCATTTAGACACCAGAGAATCATTTGTATTTTCCTCTTCGGACAGTCACGTGGCTCAGTGGTCGCCCTGGTGATGAAGGGTGGCTAGCTTTTGTAAATGCGCATTGCAGGCACCTGGAAAGGGGAAGTTGCTGAAAGCTGACTGCAGAGCTCAGATGACCACACTAGCCACAGGCAGTTTCACCTCTTCACCCTGGGGAAACAGTGGGTCAGGCCGCCCCCCAAGCTCTTCCCTGCAACTCAGTCCCTTAGTCTCCCAGGGGATGCAGAGACGACCTTCAGAGCAGGCTGTCGACAGCTCCTGGGACCAGCCTGCCTCTCCAAAAGTATCAGCGCCAGTCTGTTTGTTTTGAGTGACGCCACAACCAATTCTTGAATCCTCCCTGGGGGACCTATTATTACCTGATGCATAGGTTCAGTCCTGGGCACTAAAGTGGGATTTGTTTGGGGAACCTCTAAAACCACTAGGAGGTGAGAACAGATGCTTCATCAACTGTTCCTAAAATTTATTTTTACAGGCAAACCTAAAACCAAATACCAGGTAGCCAGGAAGGGGCACAGGCCTATTGAAGGATGTGAAAAGCAGACTGAAGCACAGGTAAGCATCCCATGCAAATGTTCAGAATTTTTTAAAAATCCATGCCGGATTTATTAAAGCTGGAAAAGAAGACAGGAATTGTTTCTTCTAATAGTATTACCCTCGTCATTAAAAATTCAAACTGTTTAAGCAAGGGTTCTTTCGGCACATGCATAATTCAATGATAAATGAAAGCTATAATTCATGAATGGCTCACCCTAAGGAATCCCAAACCAGACACCTTTGTGGGTTTTGACCTTCAAGCATCAATTTGATTCTAAGTGTTTCTATCCATTTGGTTTGTTGTTGTTGTTTTTGAGTTTTAATTTGCTTTTTTTTTTTTTAACTCACTTAATTCTACCACCTCATAGAAGTAGTTCATAAATAATGAAGTCCCAGCATAGCCACACAGCCTGTGATGGCAGACTGGGTGTGTTCCAGCATTACCATTCATGAAGGCCCAGAAAGCTGGAATTATCTCAGAAATCAGGGCTGGGTTCATTTTCCTAGTCCAAAGGGCAGAGTACAGGAAGAAAACCATCATCCCAAGGTAGTGAGTTTGTTTTTAAGCCCATATTCTGGAAAAAGTCCTGCAACCAATCAAGGAAATCAAGCAGTCCCTTCTATAATCAAATAATTATTTTAACTTATAATTAAAAACCCAGTTCTTCAAAAATCAAAAGGATCTCTGAATACACGGAAAGTAACAGAAGACTTATATATAAACTATATTTTAAAGTAATAATAGGCATGAAGTAAAAATTCAAATTATGCAAAACAGTACAGAATGAAAACTTCAATCTTCCTACCCCTCTACTCCCTCACTCAAGTGATGGTTCTGGGCATATATAGGCAAAAATGCCTATTATCCAAATAGGCTGTCCTGCTGTTTTAGAGTTTTTTGGGTTTAGGGTTGTTTTTGGGGTTTTGAGTTTTTTGGGGGGCCGTCAAACACAAGACAAGGTAATAGCTCAAAATATAGAAAAATTCAATTATGTCTTCTATCGCCTGGATCTGCATTGTCCAATCTCCTGGGCTTTTAGGCTTTTAAGCAGTCATTCTGAGAAGAGCTAAAATTATCCAACCACGGCCAATCGACTCAACCAGTCGGCTTCAGAGCACACCGTTTCTCCCGGTACGGCTCAAATACAAGGAAAGCTGATCACAGGGGGCCTTCCATCGGAATGTGGCAGGGTGAAGGCAGCGCAGTTCTTGCTCTTGGGAAATGGAAAGTCTCACAGCAGTGCAGACTTTCGGGATTATACTCGTAAGGGACTGGCTGGTATGTGTCAAAAATAATCTTTCTGCAGTTGAAGCAAACATGTTTTTCCTTTAAAACATTCCAGAGGGGGACGCCTGGGTGGCTCAGTTGGTTAAGCCGCTGCCTTTGGCTCAGGTCATGATCCCAGGGTCCTGGGATCGAGTCCTACATCAGGCTCCTTGTTCAGTGGGGAGCCTGCTTCTCTCTCTGCTTCTGCCTGCCTCTCTGCCTCCTTGTGTTCTCCCTCCCTCTCTCTCTCTGACAAATAAATAAATAAAATCTTAAAAAAAAAAAAAAAAAAAAACCATTCCAGAGGGCAGACACGAACAGGGAAAGGATGGCTTCAAAGATACAGTTCAAACATTTTTACATAGCAGGCACTGGAAATACAAAAGGGCCAGATTCTGCCCTAAAAAGCATACCATACCCTCAGGTGGGAGCAAGAGCTCAGGCTCACCAAACATCACAAGTGTTACACTGGAACCATTGGTGCCTTTTCTGACTTTGAAACCTGAGAAAATAATTAGACATGGGAAGATATGCCTGCTAAAGGGTACAATTTCATCCCAAATAAGGACTCGCACACAATCAGGGTCCTCAGCAAAATTAAATCCTTTGTGAACCACCTACTTAGGGGCTCCAGTAAAATGAATACTGTATTATTGTATTAGACACAGGGGGCTCCGGAAAGGGAGGGGAAGAAAGACCACGAGCTCTACAAGTGACTTCAACATTTTCATGTGTATAAATTTCAAGGGCTCCTTGTCTGTGGGTCCAGTCGGGACCCCAGGGTCAGATGTGGGCTACCCATTTCCCTCCCCCTGCCAAATCTCTATCTGACTTGTAGCGTGAGTCACCTGCGTGGTAACCAAGCATTGTGACACAGGGGATTATTGCCTCGGGTGAGGGAAGAAGCAGGAAGAACAGAACAGCACCTGCTGTGATGTTTGACACAAAGGACACTCTCAACCGTTCTCAGGTGAAGAATTTTTTCAAAGCAACTCATTAGTTGGCTCCGCCAGGGAATCAAAATAAGGCTGAAAATCAC